TTGGGCTATAACACTTCGAATGCATATAATTACAGCGGACTATTTCGACCCTTCTGTCTCCATTCGATTTTTAAAAAAATGATCCCAGGAAATGACTGACTGAGCAAGAGGCGCATTCGGAAAAGTTATCCAACCTTAAAGTCCCATCTCCTCCCTAAATGTGATTACTTAAACACTTTCTTCCATTCGTGAAAGTAGTATTGTTGCTGTTAGGGAATGTGGAGGATTGGCAGGAAGCGAACTGATGTTGTTTCGCCGGTATTCTGCCGCTGCTTGACATAAATGCGAGGATTCAGGCTCCTCAGTGTGCCTCCCAGCTTTTCTGTTTGCTTTCTGGTTGATATACCAGTTTTAAAAGTTCAGCTTTTTAATTTTTTTAAAAGTAATTTCTATTCTCGGTATACATCAGCATACTTAAGGTCATAGGCATAGACCGAAACTTGATGCTTATATTTGGGCCGAACTCCGCCAGCCACTGCGTAATACACAAATGCTGCCAAGGGTAGACAGTAGTAGTACATACTGATGTTGTAACTTTCTATACTGAGAGCCTAGGTATTGCCTAAAAGGCCCAGACAAGTGTTTTGCCGGTGTTCCACCGCTGTTTTACACAAGTGCTGGGGATCAGACTCATCAGTGGGTCCCCCGCCTTTCCTATTTGCCTTCTGTTTGAGATACCGGTTTTGAAAGTTCAGTTTTTTAGTCTCCTTAGGAGTTAATTTCTGTTCTTGGTATACATCTGTATATTTAAGGTGAATTTACGTATTTGCAAAGGGTCACTCATAATAAAACTGACAACCTATAGTCAGCGACTAAGCTCATGAATTTTTAACCGAGTTTCCGAAAGGTGTTCTTGATTAGGAACTAGGTGGGGGCTGACCACCATGCAATATAATCTCGTAATATTTCAAACACGCCAGTATGTTGGCTTTTCGACTCACTCCTTTTCTGAGTGCCTACAAAGACCACACTCGGTAAAAAGTGTGACCACTTACATAATATACCTTTTTTCCCGTTGGTCTCCTATGTTCTTATAATTCCAAATACATCTATGGAAACCAGACCCAATAATGCCGTTTCCTGCACTCATTTGATAGAAAATGGCGTAACTGTTAGATAGGGCTACTCAAAGGAAGGTTATGCTTAGGGCTGAAGAAGTTATCCAACATTTCCAATTAATTCTGAGCCATTGCTTTTGCGTTTAGTGATTTCAGTCTACCAGCCGTGTAAGGAAATGCATACATTCCCCTATGTTATCATCATTTAATACTCATAAAATGTTACAATGCATATGGGGTATGTTATATACCTTCTAAGGACCATTTCTAAGAGGACAGATACGGTGTTGTTCGAAAGGACGTTGTACGACAACTGCAGATTTTTGAACTTTGCAAAACCGAACGATACGCTTTCTTTGAGTATAAAATTTGAAAGTAACATGACTGGTTATCAAATACGAACAAGAAAGGATATAAATTTTTTTGATTTTATAAACGAATCCGAAAGAAATCGAAAAAAGGCATATTACTTAAGTAGCCATTGCAAATGGAGTACATGCATAATGATGTGTTCGAAATAGCATTAAGGTACGCCGCACGATTACCGATCTTACAACTCTTACAACCTTATTACTCGAAAACGCATTTCAGAATTTTGGTTATCTTTTCATGAGATCTGTCACTGTCTACACAACCACCATTCTGGGAGGTTGGGCACAGCGGCTGACGTGGATGTAAAAGCCAGCGTCCTAAGCATGTCAAAACGCGCAAGTAGTTATGTGCACGCGCGGCCTGGATGCAGCCCGATAAAGTAGCGCCACGAGGCAGTTCGAGCCTCGCTTTAGCCCAGTGCATCTGCATGGACTAATTGCTGCACACTTCTGTAACAGGCACGCAGTCTGCCTAACCGCACGGGCTTGTAGCGACCTTGTATTCTAAGCCATGCTTTGAACGCGTACTCTGGGTTATGCCCCGCATGTCTGGCTTTCGTGTCCACCAACCCGTGCGTGCCAGACGTCAAACCTCCGATCAAGGTCATGGACGTGTCTGGCCTCACTGGCCAACCACTTCCCAAGGCCAGTCCACAAAAGGACCTAGTGCGGGGACTGTATACGACCAGACACTCCCGGAGCGGCCCGCTCATGGCTGGACTTACACTCGTCTGGGAGTCGCTTACCCATTACTTATGTTCAACTCCTTCTAAACTTAATAAAATTATCCCTAACACTCTGGCCTTCCATGCTTTATATTATCAACTAGCTTATGTTAGTTGGGATACGTTCTATCTTCTATTATTCGGCCGGACTACTTCGTATCCCACAGGTCTGTATTCGTTTTCAGGTAAGTAATCGAAGGGAGGATCGAGGGCTTGACAACAGGAATGATTTTGCAGCCGCTGTTGTCTTCGCCGTCGCCAGTGGGACCGGCGCATAGCTACTCCTTAGACGAGAAGTAGGGGGGTCAAAACTGGCCCGTGACATGCATTGTTCCAAAGCTGGGGGACCCACTAATGAGCCGGACCCCTCACAGCTGTGTCAAGCGGCGGCAGAATACCGGCGAAACACGTGTCTGGGCTTTTTAGCTAGTACCTAGGCTTTTAGTATGGTACGTTACAACATCAATTTATACTACTAAAGTCTGTCTGTCGGTTGGAAGTGGACATTTTGCAGTGGTTGACGGATTTCAACACAAATATTCACTTACAATTTCGGTCTACGCCTATAGACCTTAAA